AGCAGAGAGGAAACCAGACGAGACAGTGCCGAAGGACAGAGTCTCATCTGGGGTGGTAGACAGCTACCCGACTCTGTTTTTACGGGGAATTTTTGGCCGATCCTACGGGCTCGGATACCTCACAATATACTTGGCTTTGTACCGCATCGGAACGCGTGTGGGGGGTTAGTGAATATCTCTTTTTGGATTACTTCGGAAGTGTGCTGCTCATACTCTCTGTTTCCGGGCAGACAATGCTATGTTGAAGGGCTGAGTCTCGTCTCGAGAGAAAGCTACCCGACTCCGTTTTTTACGTGATCTACGAGGAATTTTTGACCGAGCCTACGGTCTCAGATACCCCACAATAAACTTGGCCTTGTGCCCCATCCGACCGCGTAGGACGGTTAGTGAATATCGTCGCTGTACGGATGACTAATCTGACCACTATTTGGTAGTTACTTTTCGAGCGAGTATTATCGAGCAAGTACTATTAGTGCGAGTGATATTCGAAGGCACCTGACACCAGTATTGTTCGACGGTGTTACTATAGTTGTATCTGCGATTACAAAGTCTCTACTACAACGAGCATTACGAAAGTAACATCACAAAAGAAAGCTATATTTTCTGTCTTATTTCTTGGAAATGTTGATTTTCTGTTCAAGATTATTCTTATCACAACCATGAATACTTAGTTCATTAACAATCCCACCATCATAAGTACATTGACCTCGGGTTTAGGTGAGGTTAAAACAGGATCGTTGTCTTTTATTGGTACGTTCGTTCGGGATGCTGTATGGAATTTTAAAAAGATCAGTGCCTATCTCTTCATATATGTGTTTGTAAATGCGTAGGGCATAGTCTAAGAAAAGATTAGACTGCGGCTCTTATTTCCTCTTTGTCGTACTCTTGATGAGGTTTTGCCGTATTCAGATCCTTGCTTGATAAGTAACATTGATACAGTTCCTCAATTAGACTGATGCATTCAGTAGATTCGGAGTTTGGAAGGCGGTTTCTAATTGATGAGAGGAGGAAGTCTTTATTGATGATGTCATATGCTGTGTACCTGCTTTGTCGACCTCACAGGTCGACAAAGCATGTACACAGTTTCTTGCTATTTCTCGGAGTTGTTTGACAACATATATAGCATCATTGCATCCCCTATCAACGAAAACAAAACTGGGTTTTGAAAGATTTTTAATTATATGTTGTAATGGAATGCCCCACACTCCCTATCGCCTGTGTGGACTGATTATATCAGTAGATGTATTTAGAAAGCAAAGGATATATCTGACAGGCTTGCTTCAGCAATTAGTTGGAGATTCGTCACCAGCTGTGCTGTTCGAACTCGGACAGAGAGGAAGCCAGACAAGGCTATGCAGAAGCGCAGAGTTTCGTCTGGGGTGGTAGACAGCTACCCGACCCCGTGTATACGGGGGTCTACGGGGATTTTTTACCAGAGCCTACGGGTGCGGTTTTGCCCCGCATTAAGAAAAAAGGCCTTGTGACACATCCTGACATGCGGGGAGGTAAGGTAAATATTCTTGCTTCGGCAATGGAGATTCGTCTCCAACTGTACTGGTCGAACTCTGCCTTCGGGCAGAGAGGAACCCAGACCAGGCTATGCCGAAGGGCAGTCTCTCGTCTGGGGTGATAGACAGCTACGGGGAATTGTTGTCCGAGCCTACGTGCTCAGTTTTGCCTCGCATTAAATAACGGCCTTGTGCTAGATCCTGCCTCGCTGGGAGGTCAGGTAAATAATCTTGCTTCGTGAATTCCTAGGCTGCTAACAAATTCCCTCTTTCAGTAGTATATTCTCCTTTATAGTAAACCACTCTTTTCTTTTATCGATCACCGTGTTGCTGTTACTTTCATTCGAGTACCACCTTTGTCTGTTTGTAATCTTCTTTAAGGATACAACACTATTCAAATTATTAAAAACAGGAAAATGACAAGGACTGCAGGCCAATTTCTTTACACATGAGAGGAAACTTGAGGCAGCCGACATGTGGTTCTACCGAAAGATGCGAAAACTCTCATGGATGGAGTATATGATCACTTAGGAAGTTTTAAGGGATGATAAGGACACTTCGAAAGAGATAGTTGACATGTCTAGTTCACATAATAAGAAAAGATATGTTAGAGAGTTTAACACTAACAGGACATATTGAAGACAACTGGGAGAGATGGAAAGAATGAGTAACCGACTGAAAGGGTTCGTGTAAATGCATGACAGATCAAGAAGAATGCGGTAAATGTCAAATTTGATTTTCTTATTAAATCTTTCTATTCGGCTCACAGAAACGCACACACACAAACGCATCGAAGAGAAAAACACATACAATAACGAACGCACACATATATAGGCACAAATATGTATGCTTATATATATATATATATATATATATATATATATATATATATATATATATATATATATATATATATTATTTCAAATGTAATTATCGTGGACTCGCGTATTTCAAATACAGGTATCAACCATAATAAAGTTTGAAATAGCAAAAATGTTGAATGAAAAATAAATTCTTTAGAAATATATATATATATATATATATATATGTGTGTGTGCGTGTGCATGTGTGTGCGTGTATATATATATATATATATATATATGTGTGTGTGTATATGTTAGCCAAAAACAATTAAACACACAGACACACAAAAATAATTACTTGAAAACGAATATAAAAACTTTCAAATATACTCAGCAAAAAAAAAAATGAATAAATAAATAAATAAAATAAAAAATAAATAAATAAAAATAAAAACGATTCGGATATTTGAAAAAGTTAAAAAAAAACCCTGGATAGACAGAACTTTTTTTAACCAAGCATGTTTGAATGAATAAATACACTAAAATTTAGATTATTCTAATATAAGAATCCCAGTACCAAAGTGTCCAGCCAGAAAGAATTGGACTCAACTCCAAATACCCCCATATTTTCCTAGCTAAACCTTTCTCTTTAGCTGGTAATCTATATACAAATTTTTGTATGTTTATGTGATATTTGCCAAGCGTAGTTAAAACAACAAAAAGTGTATCTATCGTCCCGAAACAAAAGTTCGTGTTGGTTTTAAGTGGATTTTAAAGTTAATTTTCAAGTAATTCTATATCAATTTATTCATGTGCCATCTTGTTCCTGTATCTTTTACCATCTTCTAGGCAGCTTCATGATTCCATCCTCTCAGAACTTGACATATTTTTAGCTGATGAACTGGTCTACGTAGATTTTAGAGGCTCCCAGATTATTCCCATTCGTCACATTAAGAGAATTTTGCAGGAGTCAAAATGAAGGGATATTCGAAATTGAAAGGTCAAGTGAGTATGGTGGGTGTAATAGATAATCTCAGAAAATCTGTACCAATTTCAGCCATGTCTGCATAGAGAGGCTAGGTCTGGTGCTGATCTAATGTAAGGTGTTAACCTTTTGGTGAAACACTTCCATTGATCGGTAACAGTACTTGTCTGAATTTTACGTCTCATTTGCCGGAATGAGCTCGTAATACACAATGCCCTTTGCAATCTCACCAGGGATATATCACTTTCATAGGGTGCAGACTGGCTTTTGGAAAGGCTGAAGGTGGTGCATTTCTTTTTCTCTGGCATCTTATTCGCTCCACATTCTTGTAAACATTTACTTTTACATCTCCTGTGATCGTCCTTTTCAAAAATGCGTAGCTTTTTACCGTTTGAGCAGAGAATCTCGGATTCAAATTATTTTCCTTTATGAGAACTGGAAGACACACTCTAGTTTGATTTCTCACTTTCAACAACATTCAAAATCACTGTCTTGTAACGCGAAGGGGCCACAAGTCTTCTAAGCTCTTCAAAGTTTTACGGGGAAATGATGTAATTTTATTGATAGTTCTTTAAATACTGTTGTTCAATGTACATACTGCGGTTGTTAGTCCAATGCAGTGATTTATATACATATATATAGTCTGCCTAAGATAACACACAGTGTGCAATCTTAAACCTTCTCTTTTGGGAACTGCTTATACTTATATATATATATATATATATATATATATATATATATATATATATATATATATATATATTAAGTAAGGTTCTGTTTGCGTTGGAAACACATTCACTCGTTCAGAATTTTTCAAATCGCATTTCTGCTCAGTTTCGTATCCAAAACGCACATTTCTCTTTTAATTGTTTTGTTTCGATTTCGGATGCGAAACTGAGGCGATATGCCTTTCTAGGCATATCTGTTCAGTTTCTCTATTCATTCTAGAATTTTCTGTGATAATAGAATGTGTACCTTGCGGGTGGCCAGATAACCCGGAGGCCTCAGTGATTCCCCGGATGAGAATGTTTCCAAGTATTGAAACTTGCAAATCGCTTTGGTTGCCTCATATTCCAATTATTATTATTATTATTATTATTATTATTATTATTATTATTATTACTCACTTCTTTCCGTGTTAATGTTGTTCGAGAATTTCAAACAGACAAATGTGGTTAGACAAAGCATTTATCTCTTTTAAGTTATTAGTTCACCCTTAATATGAAAAGATGGACGTTCTCTCTGTGGATAGAGAGAAGCAAGATTTTTTTTCTTGCGTTACCGGAATGTCTTATTGGAACTAGTTCTTTTTGATAATCAGGTTTGTACCTTGGGAATCTCCAGAGTCTAGCACAGGAATATCCTGAAGAAATCGACGTCGATTTTCCATTGATTAATTAACTCCTACAAAAGTAATAAAGAAACAGGAATTGATGCAAAACTCATCTTTGTAGTATTTTTTACACTACTGAACCACTCGACAATCTGAAAAAATTCTCTTAATAATATTGCAACGCAATTTAAGTAAACAATTTTATTCTGTTCTATCTATCTATCTATTCTATTGTAACATATTCTATTTGATCTAGCTATTTTTATCTAATCTATCAATTTATTCAATTTTAATTATGTATTATTTCTATTCTATATTTATTCTATCTATTCTGTTATATTCTAACTATTCTATTTGATCTAATTCTTCAGTCTAATCTATTCATCTATACTATTTTATCAATCTATTCTCTCTACTGTATCTATACTTTATATTCTACCATATCTATTCTTTCTATTCTATTCTGTTTTTATTGTATCTCATTCTTTTCATTATCTATCTATCTATCTATCTATCTATCTATCTATCTATCTATTCTATTCTATTCTATTCCATTCTATTCTACACATCTATCTATGACTAATACAGTCTCATTCTCTCATTCGCACATTTTAATAATAATCCTCCAAAATGTATTATTTACACTCTATATGACTCGATATGAACAAAAGTGAGCATTTAAAAAATCTATTTTAGTCAGATGAATTAATAATAGATATTGTATATATATATATATTTATATATAGATAGATAGAGAGAGAGAGAGAGACACACACACACGCACGCACACACACACACACACACACACACACACACACACACACATATATATATATATATATATATATATATATATATATATATATATCAATAAAGACAAAAGAAAATCTATCGTAGCCGATTTATTCCCGTCCTCTCAAGGCAAATGCAACGATTTTGTTTTGCAACAAGTATTTATATACAACAGCAAAAAAATTATTGTTTATTCAAAATTTTTAAGTTTACGAACTCTAAACTTAAACATTTTGAAAAAAAAGCATTAACATTTTTGCTCTTGCATGTAAATGCTTGTTGCAAAACAAAATACTTGCATTTGCCTTGATAAAGTCCACCAGAGGACGGTGACAATCTGTGCCCTCCACATGCTTTGTCTGACCTTTCAACCATCTGATGTACATTCATGAACGTTTTCAAATTTACAAACCTTGATAAACCAATGACAACCTCACCTTTGTATATAAACACGTGTAGCAAAAAAAAAACCAAAAAAAACCCAAAATCCTACATTGTCTTGATAAAGCTCCTCAGAGAACGAAACACGTCGGCTAAGTATAGTTTTTTTCCTCTTGTCTCTTTTTATTCATTATATGTCCAAACTAAATATATGGCGATCCCAATATATGTTATTTGGACACGCTCTAATGATGTGGATTAAATGTAGTTGGTAATTTTCCTGATAAACTTTTTTCTATAGTACACTGACTTTATAAATTTAAGCGCAGTACTAGATTGGCAGTGAGGTCTCATCATTTAACCGTTGAAATGGCTAGAAGCAAGTTCTATACAAAATGTCAAGGTACCATAAAAAATGCATAGTCCAGTTAATCCCATTAATGATATGCTATACCACACTGTAACACAAGGCAAGAGCTTTATGAAACCGTAAGTTCTTTGCTAACAGTTTATTCTCTCGCACTTCTCGCTTGTGGTACTTTCTATCAGCTTCTTGCTTCCCATTCAACTTGATCTTCAAAAATTTAAAAGTAATGTCGTTATCTTCTCTCTACTGTCCTTTTATTGTTCTCTCTCCTTAATAGTGTATTTTCTCATTCACCACACTCAGTAACCCCTTCGTCTTTATTGCCTTGTTTGGGGTGAAATGATTAAAAAGAAAATTTCGAATCATCAGGAAGTAATCCATCCACTGGTGACAGAATACTGCACAACATAGAATCATTTACTGTAAAAATGCATAGAACATTATTTTCTCATAAAATATGTATTAGAAATTAGGAAAAGCTGGATTGGCAGCAGTTAGAAATCATTTAATCTGTAACTAACTAATTAAGGTTATCATATAATATGTAAACATTGGCTATAGCATTTTTTACTACAGAAAAGCGTTGAAGATCAGAAAAATGGGGTCGTTATTGCAAGCTACTAATTGATTTCTTTCTTTTTATTAAGAACTGGCATAGATGCCGCTCTTCGAGCCGACTTTACGCTAGTTCCCACGGCGGGCTTTTGAGCCGATGGCTTTTTAACTTCAGCGTCCGATGTACGTAAAAGTTATAAGAATTTAGAAATAATGAAATTACTTTATCTTTATTCGACACCTTAATTCGGCATATTCTTTCTTCGTATACGCAACAGATCTTGTTTACATTTATACTGCGTGCAATTTTTATTTTCTTTCAAAATCTCTATTCTATATGATACCTACACATAAAGTCACTCTTAAAATACATTAGGAAACCGAGCCATGTAATATTTCGAATACGCCACAGTACGCATGCTAGAAAAATAAAACATATGAGCAACGTGCCGTGCCCCGCTTAAGTTTTAATTAAGGTTTAATTAAACGATATCAATTGTAATTGCGACGAAAAACAAAATTAAAGTTAAACTTTTAAAAGAGAATTGTCATTTAAAGCTTTCACTCTGTTTGATGTTTAAATTTAACTTTAAAAGAGTTATTTATTTCATTTTTAATCGCGTGTAACTACAGTAGTTAATACCTGTGACCTCAGGTTGTTTATGATTCGCCGAGATCGAAAAACGGACGGACGGACACACGTACACTTCGCTTTATTTATATAGATGTCAACTATTGTATTATTCAGGTCAAAATATACGCGCGGGTGACTACATTCTTAGAGTAGGCGTTGTTTTTATAGAGACATCATCTCTACTTAAATTGTTCACCTAGGCTATTTAGGGGAGGGCTTGTGAATTCGTGTTAGCACAGCGGTGGATGGTTTTTGAACCGATTCTTCTTCCCAGTTTTACCCAATTGTGATAAGATTTTCAGGTAGTTCCCAGTGGTTCCGCACGCTGATATCGTCTACTCATACCGATAATATTAAGTTGAAGAAACGAGAAAGATGAGATTCGAACTCAGCTCGAACCACTTGGCTATAAATAATTCATAATATAAAGCATTTAGTATAGAAATGAATTAATAACGTTTTTTTTTCTTTTCACTAGAAACGCATTGAAAACCAGGAAGTGTATGATTGTTTGTTTTCTGGAATTAAATAAATAGATTATAAAATGGTTTTATTATATATCTATAGGATGAAAAAAAAAACAAACAAAAAATCTACTTCACAATTTTAACACGAATAAGGCTGGATATCCGTAAATTTACACAATACGTCACAAATGATTTAGCATGGATGGAGCAATATGTCACTGGACTGATCCAACCTTAAAAGCACATAGCAATAATCACTGAGGAAGACATACCCAAATGTATGCAAACATACGCATGCGCGTTTAGATGCGCGTGCGAATGAAGATAAACGGAGTAATCTGATCCGAGTAAGAATATAACTGGCGCCCATGTACATTTAAAGGAAATTTCTGATGCACGCACCTGGGCATGTCTTCAGGAGAGAAAGATCTCATGTAATTCTGTTTATCTAATTAAATTTCATTTATTTATTTATTTTTAGCAAGACGTAAGCTGCTGAAGAAAGCTGAAAGCTATTTGCTTGGCTTGAAATAAATTCTGAAGTTGAAAAAAAAAAATTAAAATGAAAAAAAAAGTAACTATGAACGTCTAACGGAAGTGAACTTTCTCTGAAGTTGTGACGTAATGTAAAAGTTTATGATTACACGAAGACCTTAATTTCCTAACATAAAATTCTTAGTATCTAAAATTAAAAATTCATTTTATTCGCTGAATTATTTCATCTTGTTTATTTACGACGGTTTAATTTACATAGTTACAATATTTCATGGGAGAACTGAAAGTTATTAGAAATGCTGAATAATTTCCTCGCGGATGAAGAGGAAACTTGTGACAACAGAGAAGTGATTCTACTGAAAGATGTGATTACCATAGACGGATGATGCGACCAACGAGGATTTTTTTTATAAAACGTGGGCAAAATCATCAGTTGTAAGAACACAGAATATATATCGTCGTTATCAATAGGGACAGCTCAAGATGCGAGCTTTAGAGATGTCCGAATCAAGCAGACGTTTAACTATCCGGGAAGTGATATAAAAACGATGGAATGTGTGAGGGGGAAATCCGTAGAGGCATTGGGATATTGAAAGGTGCCTCCTAAAATCTAAACAAATTATTAAGAAATAGTAAAAATTCCTTACAAACAAATAAATGAGTGCCATATCAATCATCTTATATAGTAGTGAATGCCGGATAATTTCCTCACCGATGAAGTGGAGACTTGAGGCAGCAAAGAAATGATTCAACATGGGAGGAATGGGACAATTGTACATTGGATCAGAAAGAGACAGTTAAAATTTCTGGAACACATAATGAAGAAAGAAATCTTGTAGTATTTGACACATACAGGGCGTCTTTGAAAGCAAGAGGGAAACATCTAATAACCAACCTAATGAGCTTGTCAGAAGAGGGACTGGTAGTGACAAAATAAAATACAAAGGAAATGGGGATGAATCGGTTCTGTGTACGTAGTAAGGCGGGTCCTTGTTGGGAAGATCTGAACTTGTGGAATTAACGAAGTTAGCTCGCCTGAACACTTGCCATGGAGATAGCGATAGTATGTAACGTGTTCCTTCAGGACGAGGATGATCATTGCCCTCCACATCTTCCTGTCCTTTGCAGCTCTTAATAAGTTTTGTCTTTTTATTATTTCTCACAAACCCTATTCTGCCATCTTCAGCGGTGTATTGCAAAGACGAACTTATTGTAACTGTGAGGGTGAGTTTTGAAAACACGCGTGAACGCGCTGTGTTGGAATTATTTTAGATTTCTCAGATGTAACGCCAAAAAAAAATCTTCCTTCTCTCTCTCCACACAAACAACGTCCATATTTTCATATTAAGGCTGAACTAATCACTTAAAAGCGAAAAATGATTTCTCTAACCACATTTGTCGGCCTGAAATTCTGGAACATTATTAACACGAAAAGAACGAAGTGGGAAACAATAATAATAATTATAACAATAATAATAAGTTGTCAAAGTACAAGGACCTTGAAATAGAAATCTCGAAAATGTGGCATATGGGAACATCAACAATCCCTGTTGTAGTTGGAGCCCTAGGACTGGTTGGAAAAGATTGCAGTAGACTAATTGAAGAGATTCCTGGAAGTCCATGCCTCAAGGAGATACAAAAAATTGTTCTGACAAGTACAGCCCATACCTTACGAAGGGCTTTATCTATGTAATTTAATTTTTTTTTTTTTTTTTTTTTGTCAGTGGAAAGTGTCATGACGCCATTTCTAACCTTAGGTCCCTGGGTGGGACCCGGAAAAGAAATAATGTAAACGCCAGAAATCAAAGAAAATAAAAACAACAACAACAATAATAATAATAATAATAATAATAATAATAATAATAATAATAATAATAATAATAAAGTAAATAAGAAATTGTTCAATCACCTACTCTCCATGGATGATCACAACTCATTGCTAAAGAGGACAATGAGTTGAAGGTTCTCCTCAATACTGTAAAATGTTTCAGTGATTAGATAGGTACGAATTCCGGATTAGATAAAAGCGCTAAAGTAACCTTTAAGAAAGGGAGAATTACAGAAGTATAGTCAAAAGATCCAGACTTTGTCACAAAAATTAGATGACTGGAACAAGAAGAAGTCTACAGGTACCTAGGAATTAGCGAAGGAGATGGAATAAAGCATAACAAAATGATGGATAAAGTGAGAAAAGCATACTACAGTCATGTGCGTCTAATATTAAATACCGAACTGAATTCAAAAACCATAATATCAACCATAAACACATTGGCTGTCCCCGTGGTGCAATACAGTTTCAACATCCTTAACTAGACCATAGCTGACAGTAAGCGAATGAACGCCAAACTCATGCATCATCCCAAGGCTGATGTTGATCGTCTGCATGTGCCCAGATCCGAAAAAAGCAGAGGATTAGTTCAACTAGAACTGTTTCACAAAACTACAATCATTGGTCTTCAAAGTTACCTGGAAACTACAGAAGACTGAATGATGATTTGTGTCAAAGAACATGAAAGAATTAAGAAAATTTATTCAGTAATAAATGAAACAAACAAGTTCAAAATGGAGTTTCAAGTGGGTGAAGAAATGCAAGTAAAACATAATACAACTACTGAAGCTGCAAAAAACTTAAAAAAAGAAAGCAAAGGCAAATACAGTCGACAGATACAAAAGTGATGCTTCACGCTCAATATTCTGCCGCGTACCAAACAATTGATGTAAACAAACCCCGTGTCAATCAGTGGGTACGTAGTGCAGGGTTAAAAGCTGAAACAGAAGGCTTTATTCTTGCTGCACAGTGCAAATGCTTGCTAACAAGAAATTATCAAGCTCACATACTGAAAAACTGTGTTTGCCCAAAATGCAGATGCTGTGATAAATATCCAGAAACAGTTGACCAGAAACAGTTGCACGGTATTAGCATCCACTGAATATAAAACCCGGCATGATAGAGTATAATAATAATAATAATAATAATAATAATAATAATAATAATAATAATAATAATGTTGTACAACTGCTGAGGAAACTTGGCCCTCTAATATCTTGATTCGGAAGTTCTGTTTCATGACCACATGTATATAATTCTTATTAATGATTCCTTTCAATGTCATGATCGACATTCCATAGCTATTTATCTTTATTGAGATTAACAATGTCTTTTCCTCAATCCCTCTAAATTTAAGACCCTTAGTGAGGATCCATGTCATCATAATAGTAATGTTCAGCGAGACAATCTTTCTTTGATTACGATATTGTAAAGAACCAACACTATTTTAAATTTCCTACAATTAGCAGTGTTTAGTACGAGGATCTTTACTTGAATAATTGATTTATTTGTTTTTTACGGCTTATCAACTTTTTGCAGGTTATTTAAAGCCAGAAAATATTTTTGGATTGTAATTTTATTTTTTTAATGATTTCCTGATACAAATCTTATTAATTAACCTATATCTATAGGCGGTGGAGAAGAGGTGGATTCATGCCTTTCCCAAGAACATTTACGCGTAAGTGAATATCACGAACCCGACTGGAATTAGAACTCCCCGATTTTCAATTCTGAACCGTTATCCATTGATCACCTGCACACCCAAGGTTAGAGCGCTTGGTATTCCCAAGCTGTCACCTTTCTAGATACGGAGCAGGCTTGACGTTGCTTAACTTCGGTGATAGTATTACTAGCCTTCTTTTCACTATTCCAATATTTTGGTGGCATTACTATTGCTATTTAGTCGAAAAAACCACGGTGGCTTCCTTGATTAATTTTCAACTTAATATCAGAAGCTGATTAGAGCACTAGAATGTATTATTATAAAAAATAAATACACATATATCTATATTATTCAATGAAACGTTTGAATATACACACACACACACACACACACACACATATATATATATATATATATATATATATATATGCAAAATTGCAGTGGTAGGATTATTTATTTAGTCTCTTGTTCCCGAATGAAAGTCCTAACAATTACTGAAGGCAGAGATTTTCTAAATGAAGTATAGATAACGGTTGACCATCCATAGACTTGAAGAATTTAGGAATTGTAATGATCGATAAAGTATCTTTCTGGAGACTATTCTACAACATAGGCTTACGGCCACATCACGTCGAAACAGCGGTTCCCGTACGATCACTGAAGTTAAGTAACGTAGAGCCTGGTCAGTATTTAAATGGTCGATCGCTTGGAAATACCAGGTTCTGTAAGCTTGGATGTGCGGATGGTGTAATGGATAATGGTTCGGAATTGCTAATCGGAGAGCCGAGTTCCAATTCCCGTTGGGTTCATTTTATTCACCTACACACAAACAACATTGGGAAAGGTATGAATCCACCTCTTTACCACCAACTATGGGTATTAGGCCATAGTAAAGAAATGTGTCACTAGATAATTATTATCTCCTCCCCCACCAAAAAATATGAAGGAAATGGGGATGAATCGGTTCTGTGTACGTAGTAAGGCGGGTCCTTGTTGTGAAGATCTGAACTGGTGGAATTAACGAAGTTAACTCGCCTGAACACTTGCCATGGAAATAGCGATAGAGTAGTGAGGGGTTATTAACATTTCGTCTTTGAGAAAGAGGTTGTAGGATGGAAAATAAAATATCCATTACTCGCAAGGCCGCGTAAACAGCTTTGAACTCTATCAAGGCTGAAAAGTGAGAATTGAGATTGCCCAGATATGGTGGCGATACTCCATTTTTTGGTCTGCACTCGTTTTTTTTTTGTCCTTGAGTTGTGTTTTGTCACTTCTCTTAAAAGTCCGGGGATATCAAATTTTTCATCATACGATGAAAAACCTTTTAGAAAGAGTTGCATAGAGAGATACTGCACAAACTTTCTAGCTATAGAATATTCTTCTTTTATGTAACGCGTTCCTTCTGGACGAAGACGATCATTGCCCTCCACATCTTCCTGTCCTTTGCAGCTCTTAATAAGTTTTGTCTATTTATTATTTCTTACAAACCCTATTCTGCCATTTATTTACCCTAGCCCAGCAAGTGCGCTACGCACTGCTTTCTTCTGTCCCTCTTTCTCTTAATCTGTCTCAAGAGTATCAGTTTTTCCAAGCCGCCCTTCCTCATTATGTGTTCCAGAAACCTCAACTGTCTGTTCTTGATGTTAAGTATAAGTTTCCTTATTGTTTCCATTCTCTCCAAAACCTCTTTGTTGGTCACATGTTCGTTCCAGCATCTTTCTGTAAACCATTTCTTCAAGGTTCTTTTTAATCTTTGAGGAATTTGTCCTGCATTCACTGCCATACAGGAGGACAGATATCAGGTAACAGTTCACTGCTCTTTTCTTTGTTTCCAACGAAAATTTTCTGCCTCTTAATACTCTGCTTAGCTTTTGGTGGGACATAATTTTCAAGTCCTTCTTAACGAGTAGGTCTCTGAAAATAGTTGTTAACGGCCAGTCTTCTGAGATCCATGTAATCAATGCAGGCTTCGCTGTCTAGGGTTAAGCATTATTTTCCTCACAAATCCTCATGTTCCTCTTACCTCTTACTCTAAAACCCTCTAACGCGAGCGGCTCTTGGGTGAACATTTTTGTAAAAAATGTTTTTTTTTATTATTAATATGTTATTTGTCCTAAAAGTCAAGCACAGAAAGAAATCTTTGTGCGTATCCTAACCGAAGCATGGATGAAATGTCTACTTATAACGGGAAGATGATAAAAAACGAATCTACAAGGTATTAAAATTTACTTGCTGTTTTTTATTTATTTTTTAAAACAAAAAAGGTATACAGTAAATTTGTTATACCGTTAGTCCTCAATTTCATTCCCATCAGCATCCCAAATAATTTGCCAAAGTCCCTTCAGTTGCACAATTCTTTGGCGATAATAATCCGGTGTCTTGGACGTAAAAAGTCTGCCTCATTTGGGAAGGATTTTTCATAAAGGTGGTTGTCCAGGGAATGGAAGTGGTGCTAACCTGTTGGCTTAATATAGTAAGGTGGATGGAAAGAGTGTCTCCCATCGAAGTCGCTGTATGGTATCCCTAGTCACCAGCTCTACATGAGAGCTGGCATTGTTATGAGGGAACCGTACCCCTTGCGATTAAGAAATGCTAGCCCCTTATCCCTCAGTATCTGTTGCACACGTTCCAACCGTATGGTATCCCTGGTCACCCGCGCATCATGAGAGCTGGCATTGTACTTCCTTGCGATTAAGCAATTCTAGCTACTTATGCTTCCTTGCGTAGTGTAGAGGTGATCTTGTGGTGCGAGGAAAAGGGTCCCGTGGTGACAACGGATGTTTGGTATACTTGAGAGAGTTATACAGGACCCACGTTGTCAGCTCACGATCAAATATGGTTACGTTGCATTGCTGAGAAAGCAACGTGAAACAGGCTGTCATTCATTGTTGCATGTTGCCTTCCAACGGTGTGTAAGATACCCACTTGCTCAACTTGTACGCCTTCCCTTTGCGGTGCAGGTAAAGTCTGACTCTTTCATTAGAAACCTGGAAGCGTTTGGCAGGCTCGCCACAGGCTTCGGTCTTGTCCTCCTCTATAGCCGCCATTGGGGCCTCATCATCCAGGATCTGTAGCCGGCCAATATCGGCTTCATCACAAAGGGACAGATTTACCGACCTGAAATTCAGGAACCAATGCCTGGAAGTGCGTCCACTCACAATTTCTATTATAACATTCATCCATGCTTAGAATATTCCTGACATCTAGGACATGCTGAAGTCAAAAATGAAACGGCAAGTAATCTCTCTAGCGATGGCAGAGTGAGAACTAGTTGGAATAATAAAGGGACAAATGTTGCTATTTACCTTGAACTTCTTGATAAAACCAAAAAAGAATCGGTGCATATCAGCCGGCTTGCCTTTAGTCATTTTCCTACCTCCGTAATGTTGCCTCCCTGTGTTTTTTTTTCTAGATATTATTTCATGTAATTGTTCGGGTAAAATCTTTGGTATGGTATCTATATTTTTAAAAAATTTAAGCGCAGTACTAGCCTGGCGTCGAGATCTCATCAATTTACAATTGAGCTGGCTAGATATAACCCTATATTCTTTGCTGACTGTTTTCTCACACTCCTCGTTCGTGGGACCCCTTTTCGGCTCCATGCCTTCCAGTAAACTTTAATCTTCAAAAAATTAAATGCAATGTCAATAGCTATTTACTGTCCACCTGATTACTCTTGTTGCTCCCGCCCATTAATAATGTTTCTTATTCTTACACTCAGTAACTCCTTGTGTCTTAGTGGCTTTACTGCCTTGCATAGGGTGAAATCGGTTAAAAAAAAGGACTGTCCCCGAAGGATTGACGTATTCGACGACTTGGGGCGGCTGTGGACAATTCCACTTTAAAGTCATAAAGCAGACAATACCTATTGAGCTGATTCGACACTGCCATATTTCCTGCTCGAGCTATGATTAATGTGTATTCTTATCAGTAATCACTTCTTCTCACAAGTAAAAATAGCAAGGACTTTCTTGGTTACCTTATATTTAACATTGAGTATTCTCATTTAAACGCTATTTGGTTGGCTAAAGAACATCGACTCTAGATGTCTTACAGTTTTATGAGGTGATATACCTTGTTAATTTTTTTCTACACCTTCAAGATGTGGGGGATCATGGATCTCCACAAACTTCCTATTATTTGTAGCTCTAAGCAGTATTTATTCTCTTACGATCTCCCAATCACTGTTCTCCATTCATTTACAAGAACTCGTTAGATAGGTTACTCGCTCTTTCATTTCATGACATGGGCGATCATGGCTCTCCACAACTTCGTATCCTTTGCAGCTCTAAGCAATATTTGTCCCTTTGTTATCCCTCCCAGTCCCTGTTTTGCTATCCATTCACACAGTTTCATTAGGTGGGTTACTTTGTTTTCCTTTACATCTTCAAGACGTTGGCAATCGTGGGTCTCCACAATGTCCTATGCTTTTTAGCTCTAAGCAATATTTATCCCCTTACTATTCCTCCCAGTTTCTGTTCTACTTTCCATTCGCATAGACTCGTTAAGTTAGTTTGTTTTCCTTGGCTACGTGAGCAATCATCGGTCTCCACAGTTTCCTATTCTTTGCAGCTCTAAGCAACATTTGTCCCTTTATTATTCCAACTAGTTCTCACTCTGCCATCGCTAGAGAGATTATTTGCCGTTTCATTTTTGACTTCAGCATGTCCTGTTAATGTCATATTCTCCATGCCTACTTTCCTCATTGTATGGAGTTTTATTTTTGCCCCTATATACACTACGAATCTTTATTAACTTCTTCATATTGAATCGATAGATAACCTAAACAATTATTAGAATTGTTATGGTCCGGTTCCTTGTACCACGGAGATAGTCCAAGGTAGAACCAAATAAGAAGAACTCAACACAGGTTTGGAATAACACAGATATATTACAAACAGGAATATATACAGAGGATTAGAAGTGTTAGTATGAACAATCAGGTTTAGTAGAGAGAACAATGTAGTCTCGACCAGTATCACTATTCCAATGTTTTGCAGTAATTGTCTGAAACACGATTCTGTTTCGGGCTGCCTCTGACTCGACTTGAACTACTGACTGACGATATTTAGTCTCCGCCCACAAGGGCATCATGTGGCACAAGGCCGGTTTAACGTGGGATCTCCGAGCCCGTGGGCTCGGACAAAAATATGCCCATTGAACCCGTATAAATGGGTTCAGGGTCGATTTACCTCCCTGAAAGAGAATCCGCCCTTCGGCGTAGTCTCCTTCGGGTTCCTCCCCGCTCGAAGGCAGAGAGTTCAATCGATCAGCCGATCGACCGACATCGACTGACTGACCCCTTGCCTACTGCTGAGGTGCAGCATTTATTAAGTATGGAATAGTCCATTATTATTATTATGGGTAAGATCCCATAACAAGAATTTACATTTTTATTTGCTGAATGATAACAAGATTCACCTGTACAACAGGAATAAGATTCCTTCATTCTGCGCATGTTTCTTTTTAAAATCATTTCACACTAAACAAAGTAATGAAGCCACTAAGATCACTAAGTGTTACAGAATATGAGAAAGAAAAACACAATTAATGCGAGAGAACAATGAAAAGATAGAAATTAATAAGACAGAAGATAACGATTGACATTCAATTTAAGTTTTTGAAAATTGATGTTCACTAGAGAGCAAGAAGCCAAAATAGCTTTCAGCAGGCGAGAAGTGCGATAGAAGAAATGTTTAGTATATAACTTACTGTTACATATCGCCATT